CTCCCACCAGGTATGTTCAGGTTTCAGTTCGCGTAAAGGCACGCCCCCCCCCCCCCCCCCCCCCCCCCCCCCCCTTTTTCTGCGAATTTCTAATGAATATTTTACGTCAGGTGAGTGCACCATAACATAGGTGCCCGACTGGTCGTGACTTTGAATGTATATCTACCTACACCGAGCTCTGAACGAATTTCAGGTATGTCAGGCATCGAATAAAAACATGAAATATAATATTGCCGCGCGCGCAGGTGGCAAAGCAGGCAGCGCGCTCGTGGCCTAACGGTTATCGCGCGTGCCTTCCTCGCAGAAAGCCAGGGTTCGATTCCCGGCCGCGAAGACGCATTTTTGTTGATCCTAAGTAAGGTTCTGGTAAATTCGAGAACTGTGTTGGCTGATTCAAAGTTAGAATGTTCGACACGTCGAACCTTCTACGCCGATTGTTTTAGAAGCCCACGCGTGTACAAAAAAGGCTCCGCGTGGCAAGCCGGAGTCAGTTTTCGCCCCAGCGTTCGACTTTGGTGTCACGCCGACTTCGACGCCCACGACGCTCTGCTTTATTGTTGTTTTTTTTTGTTTTTTTTTGGGGGGGCACAAGTTTGCCCCATTAAACGTTTGGTTTCTCAAGTTATTATCGCCTCATCACTTGCCATTCGTGACAATATATTTTATTCCTTACAAAAACACCAAGATCATTTAATTTTTGGATAGGGCGCTTTTGCGACGCATTTATATAATACTGGCGTTTAGGACGCGTGCATGCCAATATTCAAACTTTATTAGGGCCCTTACAAACAATATGTTTCTTAGTAGCGTTTGCTTATAAACTGCTGCAGCAACTTTCACTGTAAAAAAAAAGAAAAATATGTGCAATCTTTTTTTTTTTTTTTTTTTTTTTTTTTACAGAATAAACCCAGAACTTCCAAGATTTTAGAAGTAGTCGTTTATTCAAATGCGTGCAACATTGCGTTTTTAATCAATGAAAAGATAATTGTGAGCTTTGGAGATATATTCACATTAAATATAAAACCCCAATTAGGTCACACGGTTGAAGGGAAGCTAAAACAGGTCTTGAAAAAAAAAAAAGAAAAACTAGTTAGAGGTGAATTTTGGCGCATTTTTATCTCGTGAATCTGAATATCACATTAGTTTCCCCCAAAGATGTAACAAAACGCGAAAAATTACGAAAAACTCCCGACCTGTCGTGACGTCATACTAGGATCTTTGGGCCGCCAAGCGCGTGTCGCTCGTGTAGGCGGTGCGTGCTGTTGCAAGCCTTCGAGGTATATTTTTCCGCGCTGACACCAGGTGTGACGTATCTTTCTGACTTTTTTGAAACTAGCAAGAGCGCGCGTGCATAGCTTTGACAGGCGCTGAAGATGTGCGAGGGCCGAGATTCCGAAAACTCCTATACTCTGTTTAACCTTATGATGTACCGCAGGCAAGGCTACGAGCACGAGCTCCTTGCTCAATCTAGGGCACATCTCGGCGGCACACGCTCTCGTGACTAAAGAGCAGCTCCCAATGCTATGAGCTCGGGCTTCTAGCCTTTGCTGCGGTACAACATAAGGTGAAACGGAGTATAATCACTTCACGCCCCGAGAAGAAGGAATTCAGCGGTACTTTAAAACTTAATTTTTTAAGCCTTCGTGCACTGAATTCAAAAGTGATCTCGATATTCCTGATACTGGAGGTCAAATGAAGACAAGTTAGGTGTTTTTCGTCAAACACAAAACCTCTTCAGCCTCTCTTTGAGTTGGCCAAACCAAATCTTGTCAAAAATCACAGAATGGACAGTTGATCTTTTTTTGTTTAACTATTCAAACTTTTAATAAAGATTTCAGCGTTATTCGGCATAATATTACCTATTTAGTGACTGTCTAAAACAACAAAGTTGGTGAGCGGCGTTTCAAACAAAAAATACGAAAAGAACGTCAAACCAGCGATCCACGACAGGCAGGCAATGCGTTTGTTTATGCATCTGCCGCGTCAATGGATCATCACTTAAAAACGAAACAAAGAAAAGCCCCTACGCTCTTGCCATCTGCGCCCCCCTTTTTGGTTCCAGAAATGTCCCTAAAAACACTTTTCGTTTCGTAAAACTTAAAAATTAAGATCCTCAGAAGGGAAGGAACATCACAGAGTTATGGGTACTGTAATAATAATTTGGTGCGTGGAAGTTTAGCCAGCGCAAAGTTCGTCTGCCCAGAGAGTCGTCTGTCTGATGTCTCCGCTGGAGATGCAACGCTACTGCATCACGCAGTAGCGTTGCACGAACGCACGCTGTTTCACTGTGATTTTTGTACTTGTAGTGTTCGCGAGTCTATCCAGGAGTGAGCCGAACTCCGAAGAAGAGGCAGTGCCGGACATACCCGGAGACGTTCGCACGTGTCCGCAGCGACGATGTTGGTTCTCGGGACCTCGCTGATTAGCAGATAATGACAGAATTGGCGCGCATCTGAGTTCGATAAAGGGGTCCCACGCACAAACGCGTTTCCAGCCCTGTACGCCGCCACAGCTGCCTGGTAGCTGCAGCGAACGGGCGATGCAGCTGTTCTTGTGCGACACGCGGCTCATCGTTCGAACCTTTGCCGCGCAACGACTGGTGTCAGATGATTCGTATGTACATTTCCAGCGATTCTTGGAAATTCTTCTTCCGAAGTTGCGAGACAGGTCGCCTTGCTTAATCTGTAGACGTTACCATGGCGGACGGGCTGGTTGTCCTGCGACATACTGAAACCCGAGACAGGAGAAAAAAGAGGACAGACACAACCTCTGTTTTCTCTTCTTTCTTTCTTCATTTGTACTTTTAACGTTACACCGCGCCTCTGGTTACAAACGTCACAAGGGAACTTTTTTTTTTTTTTTAATATATTGCGCGGCTTCTGAAGTGCGTTCGGTTTCGAGGCAACTTGTACGAATGAACAATTCAAGAAAGAGCTTTATTTACAAAATGACCTGACGCGAAGCAGCGCAACACCGGATGCAAAGTTTAATCTTTGAACGTAGGCATATCCGTGAATATATTACACAAACGCATTGCGGATTATGTACACTATATACAGGAACGCAAGGCGTACACAATGATCTTCTAGACATTAAATGATAACCTGGACACACAAGTTGAGAAAGCTGGTTTCATAAAAAGAAGATATTTGTAGACACCATCAGTGGAGATATAAATTAATTCATCTAAATAAGTGCTGACACCTTATTTACACTTGGAAAAAGATAAAACCTGAGTGTATGACGTGTTACTTTTCGAAAATTGTACATGCTGAAATTATACGAGGCTCGAAACTAATAGCGGATATAAAAAATAATAACTATTTAGCCGAAATAGTTGGTATTTGATTATTATGACATTCGTGATTTGCGAAACCAAGTTGTATAAACTTGTAATTTGTAAACTTGTAAACTTGGAATAAAATTAGCTTCTCCGTGTCAATGTAATGTGGGAAAGTATGGGAAATTTTGCCTTCAAAATTTAAAAACAGAAATGGACATTGTACTTATGGGTTCTTTTCTAAACTCGTTTAACCGTAAAATATTCAGTGCTCACAGATAGGTTGGTAATGCAGTGTAGCCCTCACATAAAATGTAGAAAAACGCAGACAATGAGCTGCCATACCCTTAGTACAAATACAGATCGCTGTTTGCCACGATAGACTAATAGACATCATGACAAAAAAGGTTTGATTGTGATAGGGTGAATTGCCATATCAATTCAGCATAACTTTGTTTGCAGGTACAATCGCATAACATGTATTGGCTTCAAATTTTGTCTTGCACTTCTTGCTCTATTTACAAATGTTGTCCTATTACATAAAGAATATTTCCCTGCGCGTCACTTTTACAAATAAAGCTAATACTCTTTTAAGTAAGAGCGTGATCAGATTAACAAAAATAGCTTTTCGCATACGCCCAGGTTCTGCAAGACGAGAATGGATACGCATACACATCACTTCCACTAAAATACATTTAGAAAAACCTGAATTTCAAAGCTTATAGGGTACCGATTTGCAATGCAGTTTCTCTGGCAACACTAGAAAAGCATAGCCAAGATTCGGACATATTTGGTATTAGCGTACACTCCTGAGCTTATCACTGTACATCAAACAGTATACACTGTACATCGTAGTATATACATTTCAAAAATTCCGTTCTTCGGCTGTTCACAGTTCGAACCTTCGTATGTTCCTAGAATGCAGTACTGGTTGACGGAAATTCCTCCTACGAAACATTTCCTGAAACATAAAAATCCACAACCCTAATTTTCGCAAAAGACAAAAAAAGAAGAAAACGAAACCGGGGAGAATAACAGACCGATGTCACAATGCCGCCGCTGTCGCGATGCGTCGATAAAACGTGCCACAACCTCTCTTCGGGTCTGCACGAGCGAAGCACGTGCAGACTTGGAGCGGTCTAAAGTTTTGGCGGTGTCACGCAGATGCCGACCACTTGGTGGAATCGGTTCTATTAACCAGAGAATGAGACTTCTCAAATTCCGCTGCACTCATCTGTTTTCGTTTGGGAGTTATGTCGTGGCTTTGTGAGGACCACCCACATCTCACAAACATCTGCAGTGCCTTCATCAGCACCGCACATGTTTGTGAGATGGATCGCTGATTCACGCACTCGCGGCTGCTAACGACCGAGATCCCTTAATACGTCTTCTCTACGAGAGAACACACTGGCGCTATTTTTCGGGTAGCAACACACTTGCATTTTCGCATAATTCCTCTTTATATTCACGCATTACTTTTTTGGTTTCTTATTGGTTCAAAAATATTTTGACAGTACGACCATTTCTTGTAAATACTGCACAATCCTCGCTCTAGTGTGTCACCCCATAGATGGCGCCAGCATGTCTCTCGTCATAAGAGATCACAAGAAACTTGGTCATAAGCAAGTGTGTGAGCGGGCAAACGTGTGGGGCGACAGCTGTGTCTGGCAGGCGCGAGGAAGCACGCGACACCGAAGCGGACGTCTCTCGGTCCGGGCTCTCAGTGTCTGCCGAGGCGCGACGTTGTCGTGGGCCTCCTTCTCCAGACGCTCGGCGGAATGTTCTGGCAGCCGAAGTGCAGCTCCTCCAGCTCCTCCTGCGAGTAGGGCGGGAACACGTCGCAGGGGGCCCCGAAGATGGTCTTCTGGATGCTTCTCTGCGAGCCGTCGTACGTCACAGGGCTGGACGACGGGACCTTGCTCGCCGCCTCCTGCAGGGAATGCGCCGTCGTGAAGATTCCGCCACAGAAACGTATCCGAGTACGACTCCTTCCTGAAAGGAAAGCTCGCTCTCGGAAGTCTACCTAAAAGTTGATATTCTTGCAATCGTGCTCGTCCTTTGTGTGAGCGTATGAATGTGTACTTCATGAACTTGTTCTCAAATGTTTTCTGAGCGCTCTTTTTTAATTTTTGTTTCATTTTGTTCGTTTATTTATTAATGGTCTCTATCGTTGAGATGACGTGCAAAGGGCTCGAATCCCGGCCGAGGTGCCCGCAATCGGACTTATTCTGGTGAAGGCTTTGCGTAACGGAGATTTCGGTTGTACGTCACGAGATCCCCAGGGGTTCAAATTAATCCTCCGCTGGGGCATGCCAGATGCCCTTGTTACTTTGGCACGTCGAACCCCGAAATTTCATTTGCCCCTCCCCCCCTTTACCTTAACCTTTACGTAATGGCCCATTTAAGTCGCCTGCTAATACATCATACAGAAAGCAATCTGCAGACACTGTCTCAGGCGTGTCCTACGATGTCACATTGGTACAGTGTGCAGCCATATTCGAAGCCTACATATGGAGCACACACTTTTCGAACGTGCACGAGGCGCGTTAATTTCTGTCTGCAGTGAATGTATTTTGCATGATGTATCAGCAGCGTGAGTGCGGCTCTTGGGGTGAAATAAATGAATATCCCGAAGATGGCGTCGTAACGTCCTTTTTTCAGCGCTACTCACCTCTTGGACGTCGCGTACGCAGGCGTGGGAATGGTCGTAGGCCGTCCAGTGCCGTGTCAGCTCCGACCTCCACGAGTACTCCTCCTTCTGCGAGCTGCCGAAGAAGAGCACGTTGCCGTGGTGCTTGGAGCGGGCGAAGGCCCTGGCCAGCTCTCCGGAGAAGTTCTGGTCCGCCACGACGACCACCTGCTTCGCCGAGCAGTTCTTGAGGTCGAATAGCAGTTCCCGGATGCTGTAGATCTCTTCCTCGTCAGCCTGGAAGAATGGACATTTTTAATGCGAAAACATTAACCGTCCAATGGAGCGGACCGACGTCATCAGATTTTGCAGCTTCGCCAGACGGCACCTTCCCCTGTCCCAATGGAGCGAAGCCTCTCGCCTGTAGCAGAAATCTGATGGATAGGCTCCCAATGGCTGGTGCGCGTCATAGTTTCAAGGAACGAGGCTCCCATTGGCTCTCGCGCGACATAGTTCCAAGGAACGCTACCAGAGAAGCCCTCTCCAAAGCGGCGCAGCGCACGAAGCGGCCCGGCCGCCGGTAAGAGGGAGCGGTGACCGCAGAGCCCGCCCGGGCAAACTCCGGAGTGGCTGCACGGCCGAGCTCTGCGCGGCGCAGCCACTTCACGGCAGCGCGCGCTCGGCCGTCGGCTGCTACCCCGGCAGTAGTGAAACGTGGCCGTCCACGCCTGTACGTCGCAGACGAGCTAAGGGAGCGGAAGAACGACATCCATGCTTTCGCATTCACAACTCATAAGAAGTGCTTAGGTGTCCTCGAAATTGTTTCCCCCAGAAATATTGGTTTGAGAGTAAATGGATCTACTACTAGAGCACTGCACGGGCCGGAATTCCTAGGCCCGGCCCGACCCGGCCCGGTAGAGACACGGCCCGGGCCCGGCCCGAGCCCGGCAGAATTTTTAATTTCTAGGCCCGGCCCGACCCGGCCCGGAAGAGACACGGCCCGGGCCCGGCCCGAGCCCGACAGAATTTTTAATTTCTAGGCCCCGCCCGACCCGGCCCGATGGCTGTCGCCCGAAACAGCCCATTCCCGTTTGAACCCGTCCCGTTTCGACCCGTTCCCGAAACGAGCTCCCCATTTGAACCCGTCCTGTTTCGACCCATTCTTTAAACGCCCTTCCCATATGAACCCGTCCCGTTTCGACCAGTTCCCTAAACGTCCTTCTCGTTTGAACTTGTTCTGTTTCTACCCATTCCCTAAACGCCCTTCTTATTCGAACCAGTTTCCGAAACACCCTTTGCGCTTGAACGCGTCCCGTTTCAACCTACTTATATAAGGCCCTGCACATCGCAACCTCTTCACAAAACGTCTCCATCGTTCTAAGCCTGGTCTGCGCACCTTTTCTGTTTAAGAATGTGTCCTGAAGTAGCTTTACATGTCAACGCGTTCTTAAAATATACAACCCTTTCAGGCAAGCTTAAGTTTAATATATTCCTACTTAACCCCTTAAAACGTTTTTTTCAAGATGGTTCCCAAAACGTGCAAGCGCGGAACGGGCTATGTACACTGCGCGACACTGATACCGCGAACACGACGTTGGCTCTTTTTTCGAATTTTGCTTCGAAATGGTGTTAGTAGGCACCAAAGTATACCGCTTAGGTCTGTTGCCCAGATGAGCACTTCTAAATACACTAATAGTTTTGAAAACAGCGTTATGATTCTATGAGATAAACATAAAAACACGACGTTCGCTTGTTCGCGCTAATATAGTGTCGCGCTCTGTGCAATAAAGGAGTCTTAGAATAACGTACTCAAGCACTTTGGGCAAGCTAGAATTAGCATCGCCATAGGTTTCACATCGCAACGCTATTTTTACGGTACCCAAAGCGCTTGCGTACGTTTTTCTAAATCTTCCTAATAGTGAACTAGATATTTTTGAGAGCGATGAATCAGACAGGTTGACAAGCATATGACTGGGACTTTATTTTGTTTACAATTTATAACACTGAACCCTCGCTCACACGGAAAAAGCTTGAAAGCTTTCTAGCTTCAAGACGCCTTTTAGTTATTATTTTTAACGACGCTGCAGTGAATTTGCACTTCGCTTTTTTTGTATTCAATGGACCTAAAAGATTAATGAGCAGACTTCTTGTTATCAACAACAATTTATGATTTACGGCAGAAGATTGCCCAGGCACGGCCCGGGCCGGCCCGGGCCGGCACGGCCCGAGAACTTTTTTGTTCAAGCCCGAGCCCGGCCCGGGCCCGAGAAAATACGTGCTACCCGGCCCGAGCCCGGCCCGCGGGCCGGGCCGAGCTCGGGCTTTCGGGCTGGCCCGGGCCCGTGCAGTGCTCTATCTACTACCCTCCCTTTCCTTTTCGCCAGCCGAGCAGAGAGGGAATATGGCTTCGATAATCCACACAAGTGGCCTTCGGGGAACCGTATCTAGGTCACGGCGAGTCAGTGAACCATCATGAATAATGTAGGCGACGTTTACGGGTACGAGTGTGCCCATATTGCGTGGCCAGAGAAACTCGCCAGTGCCTTGTTTTCTAGCCACACCATCTCGGACGCACTCGCGCTCCCAGGTGGCACCACCTATTAGCCCCGAGAGCGAACACAAGCGTCGCTGCGGTCGCCGCGCCCTGATTGGGTGAGGCGTACCGTGACGTCAGGGGGAGTACTCCGCTCCGCGACCTCGCATCGGCTCGCTTCCCAGCACCGGTTTCCCGGTTTGGCGTTGTGTGCCGCAAGCTCTTCGAAGCGCTGGACTTCGTTTACCCGGTGTACAGGACGTTGAGTTAGGCTGATATTGACGTCCTTCCGTACATTTAATAAGCCTGCTTGTCTCTTTTACCTTAAAAATTGGGTTACAAATCCCGAAAGCTATCGGCGGAGGCAATTCCGCCGATGAACCTCACCGCCCGTCCACACGACACAAGGCAATTTAGCGAAGGATCGGTGGAGCGTTGGCGCAAGTGTTTCGGACGCTGGAATTCTGTTCCTTGCATGTTCATGATTTAGGAGAATATTACATCCTGCTTTGCAGGTATTTGAAATTGCATTCATATCAAGGGCCTTTGGGTGGTCGGCAAATTAGCTCGGGACTCCGACTTTGCGCTGCCGCTCTGCATACGCTGGTTCGCAGATGTTTTAAAGGCCCTGTGTCTGATCATCTTTGAAGTGCTCATAGAACAGGGTTGCTTTACATAAATGTAGCTTCTTCGTAAATTAATTACATAGTTTATACATGTATGCAGGCATATTTCATAGAAGATGCACAATTATTGGAATTTAGTTTGTATGGTAGCAGCAAAAACGGCCGAATTACCCGCAGTTGCCTGTATGATATCTATTGGACTGCCCAAAATATGCACAGCAAATGTGCCGTAATTTGGAATGTTTATACTTTTTCCTGACACTTTTATTCCAGCTTTGGTTATTCGGAAAATACACCGTTTAGTCTGAATTGTCATTTCCAACTAAAAGAGACACTGCTGCAGGTCTCCAAAAGCTTCCTCAGCCTCCAAACTCCCTACAGCTGTACTCTCTGACAACAGATGCAGGAGTAAAAGCAAGCATTCGAACGCCTGTCCAGTGGTAGTTGCAGCATTAGTAGCACAAAATGTGGAACCCGTGAAGGGCGACATTCTGCGTGAGAAAAGGTTCTGGTATTTTAGCTTCAGGAAAATTCGATTTAAGTAAAATCTCAATTTTAGGGCTTAATTGACTAATAACGAGCTAGACACCTTCGCTTACGTTTGTTATACATTACTTGAGGGTTGATATAAACAAGTCCACAGATATCACCCGTGTAGTCCATTGAAATACTATCCGAATCCAGCAAAGGTCAAATGCGATCAATGTATGTAATAAATGTTCCTTGTTTTTTTACTTTGCCCCTGCACTTGGGCTGTCTTACTTGTGATTCTCTCCCCATGGCCCAGACCGTATTTAGCATGTTACCCGAGCGGCATGCAGCTTTTCTGCTTCGGCGAACTTGTTTAAAAACGGAGATACCAAACAAAAAATAGTATACATAACCTGCCAATTCATTCAGACCATCAGCAGCACTTTTTGTGCGAGATGTAAATCTATAGTGATGCTCCTGCAATTGTGGCCATATTTCTTTATTTTCATATACCAGCTCCGATTCATGCGTTGCCTGCCCTGTCAACCATGCTTAAAATGTTGGTTGAAGTTTCACCTGAAGCTACAGGCCATACCTCAATAAAGGCACATAAAAAAAATATTAAACTTCCTACGAAAAACACGCCAAAAAAAATTAAATAGGAACGAGCGCGCCGACAGCTAGCGTCGTCGCAGCCTCCACAGGGCGAGCGGGGCGAGCCGGGGAAAAATTCTCTCCTGGCCGTGACGTCACCCAGGTTCGCCGTAAGGGGGCGCCACGCAAACTTCTCGGGGCTAATTTCGAGAAAGGTGGAAGCTTAATCGAAATTTTGTGTGGATATTTTTTGCGGTAAAGGCAGGGACAGGTATAACGAAGATTAGTCACTCGATATTTTCTGTCACACAGCTGTTTTCGGTAACACCGATCTACTGCACGCAGCTGTCCAAAATCCGAGTTCATAATAGCGACCGTACACTTGTGTAGAACGAGCGTGAGTGGACGCCGCACCTGTCCGTTGCCGTCGACGTCCCAGAGAAGCGAAGAGCCATCGCTGAACGTCGGGCTGTTCAGGTAGACGAAGAGAGAGTCCGCGCAGTGGCTGGTCAGGCACAGGCGCTGCAGGTGGTACCGCAGGGCCAGCTTCAGGGCGGACGGGTACAGAATGTCGTCCGCGTCACCTGAAACTGAGCGTCCACAGGTTGAGAATGTATCTTCTCTTCTACGCATCGCTCTTTAGTATGTTGAAGCGGAGAATCGGCAGTGGAGGTTCCGTCTCCTTCAATTGACTCGCCATATTTTACCTTTGGTTCGTCGAGGTCGCAAGTATGTCCTGCAATCAGTCTGTGTCCGTTGCCGTTATGCTCGCGCGCCCAGGGTTTGAAGGAAAACTCAAACAATTTTAAATAAAAAAAAAAAAAAAAAACATCCGAGCCTAGTTGATTAGACCTCAGCCATCACGAATTTCGTGCGTTTCCTAAGCTGCCGATAGAGAAAAAGGGTGCGCTGCCTTCGAGCCTTCGAATGTAGGGTTGCATGAGACGAAAGTCCCCGAAAAGTGGCTCCTTATGAGTGTGCGCGAGCAACAGCAGATACCACCGATAGTTAAACACTGATTAAATATCGGTGCTTTCAGTTCAAATTGTGAGTGTGCGGCGCAATGTTAGAACTAGCGAAATATGTGTTCCAGAATAAACCAAGACCTTTAGTGACCCTTTTTCCCGTGTGTCTTATTTCTTAAACGCTAGTGAAATAAGAAGATCGCAACGTGCCGACATGGTTTAGCTCTTTAGTAATATTCACGGTATTCTGCTGTTCCTTCTCTTATCCGACGAGGCTTCACACCGAGCACATGAGCGATGCGGCGTAGCCCGACTACCGTGCAAACCAGCGACCTTGCTCTCTCTTCTGGGGCGTCGCTGCGTTGATGGCATCGTGCTCTCTCGGACTATCTTGTGCGCATACTTCCCTGCGACGACCTGGGAACAGCGCTCATTGGTCCCCTTTTAATCGGAACGGCTAATGATCACGGCGAGCTGGTGTTGCTCCGGCTAAGCGAGACCGCGTGGTCAGTCTCGCAGGATACAGAAAGGAAGACCGGCGATTAATGTCCACAGCGTAGCACGGCGCTGCCTACGCTTCGGGACTTCTGGATGGATGGATACAGCTGAACCATTTAAATCGAGCGGTGGCTCGCGCGACACAGTTTGAATCTTTGTCTACTGGGCTGTGGTACGCGTTGCGAGCACGCGCGCTAGCTCTGACCTCCCGGATAGCAGATGCTGCGTCCACAGCCCAGCTACTGGGCATTTTTCTCGGAAAGATGTATACAGTGTGCTGCCGCAGAAGAGGCTTCCCTCACCGTATCTGCCGTCGGCTCCGTTGGCGTAGAAGGCGCGCACGTTGTTGCTCTTGAAGCCGAAGCGCGTGAGCATGGCGTACACGTCCCTGAGGTTGGCGAGTCCTCCGGCCACGGGGCTGGACAGCCGGTCCCAGCCCCCGGACAGGAGCAGCGCCTGGTCGCACGTCTCGAAGAGGCGGCAGCGGGTCAGGGCCATCTCTTGGGTGGTCGAGCAGCGCTGCGTGTTCACGCGCACCGGGTTGCACAGAAGGAAGTCCGTCTCGTTCTGCGGACGCAGCTCCGGGCACGGGGCGAAGCCTGCGGGCGCCACCGCAAGGGGGCACGCTCGTCAAGACGCTCCCCCCGCAATCAAGTCACACTACATCGCACAAAAAGGCCGTTCGCAGCATACGCGCCTCATGATCCAAGCAGCTTCATGCACGCTTCGAACATGTTCTGCAAACAGTTTTTTGCATGTCCAATGGGACCGTCGTAAATGACCCGCAAAACGGATGGCACCTAGTTGGAAAACAAGAAACGAAACGGGTCCTTTGGCGATTTCCGCTCGCCGTGTGTGGCTTCTGTTATTGCAACAGTTGCCCCGTTGACTTTGTTCTTTATAGGGAGCTTTCGTAGATCGTTCTCGCCGTCCCGCAACGCTCTCCGCAACCCGCTTCGATAATCGGAAGCCCACAGTCAACGCCATCGGCGAGCAGGCGCAGTAGCGGCTTCTTCGTTGTGGAGGGCGGAGAGGAAAACGCGGTCTAGAAAACTCCCTAATGTCGCATAACGTGTTGCACAGGCTGCTCCTTACGCTACCTCGTGAACCAGACCTCGCACGTTTATCAACGTTCATCAACACGGTAGTCCTTCCATCACTTCGAAGGTCAAGCTTCTGGAAGCTCGCTTACGCCAACACACCGTCGCAGGTTTGAAACATAGCGAATAAAAATAGTGGAAAACCATTTTGAGTCTAACGTTTGCCTGCTGAAACCCGAGCCTTGTGTGTTGAACTGGCACATGACACAGCACGATCTGTCTAAGACCGCCATATTTTGCCGATAGTGGCGACCCCTACAGGTTGCTGGAGTCGTGAATAGCGGCCAGAGGCGAGCGGGGTGTTACCTGGCACGAGGCGCCATACGAGTATACTATGACTCGGAGGGAAAAACGCAGACAGTTACAAGCAACCTTACCAAAGCTATTTTTACGTTCACAATGCATGTGATTGCGCACACGAGACATCAGCCAGGGCTAGTCATGGACGTCATGCTTCCAGTTGTGTATAGAGTTAAGAGCTTGGAAGATCCTTGTAGGCGTCACAGGCATAAACCACCTGTTATGCTCCATTTCTCAAATATCTACGGCACATACAAAGACACAGACACGTGAGCCTGTACTACGTCCCATCAACCGCAAAGGCTAGAACGTACGCACACCCCAATTTTTTTTTTTTTTTACTACGTCCCACCAACCGCAAAGGCTAGAAGCGGGTAGCTTTGACTGCTACTCTCGTTGCACGACCGGTCGCGCATGCAGCTGAGGCATAGCCAAAGCGCAACCAAACGCAATTTTTCGTCTTTTTTTTTGTAGCGTGAGCTACACTGGCCGAGGTTGAGCAGTTTCACGTGGCTCGCAGCACGGAGCGCGGCGCAGCCGTGCTCCGTGCTGCGCATGCGCGAAAAGCAGTGACGTCACACGGTGCACAGCTGGCGCGCCGGAGCCGCCGTCGCCGCGCCCACCTCGCCGGTCTGCGCATTCCAGAGGAGTGACGTCATAGCCGCGGCAGACGCACTGGCGCCGCTGCGTGCCCAGCTGTGCGCCTCCGTTGCGCAGTAGCCAAGTCTGACGCTGCACCGGAGCCGCTTGATAGCGCCTCTCATTTTGTGCGCATAAGCTCACACTACATATATCCTGGCATAGCCAAGCTAAGCCACCGCAATTTTTTTACGTTTGTGTGGTGGCGAGCACAGAGTAAGGACATCGGTCTACCTTTGAGGTGCGGCGACACTGGTTTACACTGTAGATGAGAAGCTTAGCCAGTGCAGTACCAATGGAACGGTATCCTGGGGTCTAACGTGCATCAATCACGCAGTACTGGTACACGACCGCACGCCGGTACGATGCTCATCCAGGGACCTGGAGCTCTAATTTGGGCACTAAGCGAAAAAATCGGCGAGGATTTTGGCTGCCGTGATTGGCCGGCGCCGCGCTTGAGCTTGGCGCCGGCCAATCACGGAGCTCGAATTTCTCGTCGACTTTTTCGCCAAGTGTCCAGATTAGAGCCCCAGATCGACCAAACGCAAGAAGCTGACTAATGTAACCTTTGCAGTTTCGCTCAGCAGAAAGCTTTGGCTGCACGAGAACCCGCGCATAGAAGGCACTTTCCAAAGCCACTTTCTCGAGGCCGCGGCTCAGTCAGCAGCGCAGATGTTAGTGAGATGGATATTGGCAGCATCTGTAGAGGCCTTCGGGGTGTTCAGTCAATGGGAAGCTTTTTGTAGACCGTGTTTCCCACTCCGCTAACTCTCCGCAACGAAGAAACAGCCACTGCGCCTGCGTGCCGATGGCCTTGGCTGTAGAGTTCCGGCTAGCGGAGGGCGAAACACGGTGTACTAAAACTCCCTAATACCACCTAGAAGCAGACCTTTACACGTTGCTAAAAAAGTAGCCGATTACAATTACAATTACTTCACTGTAAAAAGTAACCGATTACGATTACAATTACAGCCTCAAAAAAGTAATCGAAAAAATACTCTGAAGTAATCGATTACTTCCCACGTTACTTTCCATCCAACTTTTTTATTATGGTAGCATAACCCTTGGGGCCTCAAACTCAATTGTTCAAAAAAAAAAAAAAAAAACCTTGACTGTTTGTTTAAAGCTGAGTGAGTGACGCCCACATACCCAATCCCTCTCGTGAAAAACAAATAAATAAATAAAAAGAGTGTCATTTAAATACATTACTCACAAGAGGCTGGGTAAGGCCATACCAGGACGTAGTCTCCGGTGTACCCCCTCCAAAAATTTACCTAGGAAACGAAGCAAAGTGAAGTGGCCTACTACACCTCGAGGTCCCGTGCTTAGTGGTTTCGAAAAAGAAAAAAAAAATATTCGACCGTTGTTTAGAGCTGAATGACTCCAGCACATCTACCCCCCCCCCCCCCCCTTTCTTTTTTTCTAAAAAAAAAAAAAAAAATTGAGAAAGGTTCTAGTGGCTAATTTTGTAATCGAATACCACGAAAAAGTAATTCAATTACAATTAATTGAAGCGTTACAAACTTACAGTATAATGTAATCGATTACAACGCGTTACGTACAAGTCTGCTCAGAAGACAAGACATGACGTCATCCTTATTGGATCCCCAACCCGCGCAAGCGGCAAACACGCTGAAGCTGGACCAGAGCCGCGTCAAAGCTACAGACGCGCGTCCAATTCTTGTCTTTGCCGCGGGCTAGCTTCGCGCTCGTTGCGAGACGCTACCAGACGCTCTGGCGGCGGTGCTGACGCGAGTTGTGCGGAGAGCAAGTCGTCTGCTTCTCCTGCAGGAGGTGCGATGACGTCAGAAAGACGCCGAGCTATGATTGGCTCTGATCGAAGGGTAGTGCGTAGACCTCAAAGCAAGCTGCCTCGAGGCCAGGGTGTAAGATAGACAGGTGGGGAAACGGCCCATAGAAACCTACCGCAGCGCCGTGACCCGATTGTGTACTCGTCTGCTTGCGGGTACCCCCGACTTGCGACAGATGGCGCTGCGGCGAGAAGAAAAAAAATTGGAATCGAATTTGCATGGAACTTTATGGGAGAGTGCGCAGAATAAACCGAGAGCACGACAGTCCTCCATTGAAAATCCACGAGAAACCTTCTCCGTCAGTTTCACCGGTCGCCAGCGTTCGCCCACCCGGAGTGAAAGTTCGCGGTGCTCCACATAGATGGCGCCACAGAAAAAGAGAAAACAGTGGGGGACACAATCCGGTCGCTCATTTGGCTCTCGTTTCACCACCTGTCTATCTTACACCCTGCTCGAGGTCTACCCACTGTCCTTCAATCAGAACGAATCAGACCTCGGCGTTCTTACTTCACCTGAACCCCTGCAAAAGAAGCAGACGAACTTGCGCTCCGCAAGGCGCCGTCTGAGTGATGACGTCTGGGGGGAAAGGCGCAGTCTTCTAGGTTGTATTGGGTGGATCCAAAAGGCGTCTGATTGGCTTCGGGGGTTCAGTCGACGCGGACGGAGTCGTCCCGAGGGCACTCACCGGCGACGTCCGGGCGGCAGCGCAGCCGCTGCTTGGACTGGTGTGGCTCCTCGTCCTCCAGGTGCACCAGGGGCAGGAAGTGGATCTCGCAGCGGCGCACCAGGCTGCGGCCCCGGTACCCGCTGTGGCCGCCCAGCAGGTTCTGGCAGCGGTCCTTGAGCGCGATGGACAGGCACTCTCCCTCCTCTGGAAAGCGGCAATCGCGCTGCTAGTGTATCGTACGAAAGACTCTGCGGACATGATGACATCAGCGGGCACGCCTCGAGCGTCTTCGAAAGATTCTTATTTATGTCTACTTTGAACATGTTGGCGAACAGTTTTTGGATAACCAAGGGGACCGCCACACGAGGAAGACCTCAGACAGTGTACGCAGACGGTCTTTTGTGTGATGTATTAGCAGTTTGACTGCGGATTAGTGGCATATAGTATAAGAGAAGACGTGCTGCCATTGAGGTCTCACCGCAGGGAGTCGCTGCGGGCGCGCAATACAGAGCCTGCAATGACTTCACACTTGCTATCATCGCGGTGGCCTCGCTGCTGAGCGGCTACCTTCTGCAGCGCACATTTCGCACCACCGAATTCGCTTTTTTCCCGTCAAGAACAAGTGGGAATGACCCCCGCCATGCATAGTGCGACTACATCACGGGCCAGCCACGTGTAACGAACGAATGGCCTCCACCAATAGACTACTTCCATAAAGCCCTGCATGCAACACGGCGTGCGTTGCACTCTGGGAACTAGTTGGCCAGGGAGGAGGGTGGCATGGTTTCGGTTTCGATCGACACGTCGACAAGAGATTATATACACAGAGCGTGGACTATTAACGGTCTTTATCTTATGTTTTCTGGTCCCGAGAGCGTCATTTGTGGCCTCTAAACTAACCTAAATGGCTAGACCTCGAAGATTTAGCACAAGCCCGAGACGTATAGCTTGTCTTAACACATGCTTGTTGTATTTTTGTACTAGAGCCTTTCCGTTAGCGTTCCAATCGAGGTATGTGGACTAGCCAGTGCTTGGAATTTCGACGCTGCGAAGCTCGGGGATCTTGCTTGTGTACGAATCAACAAGCTGTAGCAACCAATAAGTATGCATACATTGAGCTCGCGCCTTTACATTGGTGTTGTTGATCAGGAAGTTTGTTTGTTTCGTGCGTCCATAGACGAAATATTACTTTTTGCAATTACTGTTTTCTTAATAAGCCCGAGTACGCAAGGTAAAACTCGGAGGCGCCATTGAAAAGCTCAATTTTAACTAACTTCTTATCTCTTATCTGTACTGACCCGCAGCACTGCACGAAGTGAAGTCCCCACCCGCTTGCATTCCACTAATATTCAACATCGCGTATGCGCATAAAGTTATCCTGCCAATCATATAGGCACATTCGCACATACAGACCGTTTTAAGAAAGAAAAAGTCGAGCACTTGTGCGAAAAATGTCACACCGTTTGCCGGAAGTGCGCCGGACGGGCATGAACCAAACGAACGAAACTATTCAAAGCGCGGTTGACGGTTGCTAATGGCCATAATATTTATTATGCGTTTGCTTTCTTCCTGCCTGAGTATGCCGAGATCATTTCGGACACACCGTTCAGGCACAGACCTTGGGCGTCAGTAATGCTCGTCCAAAAAGGCTTAGCGAGGAGTAGGGGACGCTTGTTAGGGCCTCCGTCGTTGCTAGCCGATCTCAGCGTTTGCGAAACTTCATCTTCTATCAGCATAATATTTGAGTGGGAGATATATGATGACACGAGGAAGACATTAAAGTAACTTTTGTGCAGTAGTGAGGTCGAATTTATTGCGTTTCCTTAAAAGTTCATACGTCAACGCTGGGCTCAACTTCGATTCTCCTGTGAGGATGCGGCTTGCTTTTCGCTAAATGAAGTAACAAGAAGCGGACGATTGCCAAACAAAATACCTGTAAAGCTCCAGATGACCAAATTTCAGTTCTAGTTCACTGGTACTAGACGGGATCATTGAAATTGAACTCAAAGATGCACTCGTGGTGTGAGGTGACTAAGCCACGTCTTACTACGTTTGCACACGCACTCATAATACTGTAAAACCCTTAATGTTCGCGAGCCCTCAATTTTCGCAAATTTCACGAATTGAAGAATTCGCGAAATTTAAGGGCGCGCGAAAATTTCGGTCCTTAAGATTTTCAATGCAGGCGTCTGGAATTCGCGAAATTTAGTGGTCGCGATTATGTCATCTGTGACCGATTCGCGAAAAATAGGGGCCGCGAAAATAAAGGGTTTTACAGTATCCGGTGTTTCGGGAACCAAGGAAAGTGCCCCGGTCTTCGTTTTGTATCGCTCGAGAATAAGTGTATTGCACGTTCGTGAAAAGTCAGATAATCGAAAACGCAAGCAGCGCGTTCGGTCGCGGCGTGATAGCATGAGATGAAGCTGCTCAGACGAAACCGAAACTGAGTGGCCAACTAGTTCCCAGAGTGCACTGCATGGTATTTCGCCGCGATGGGGCGCGTCGGTTTTAGAAGAAGTCCATTGTTCTATGGAACATCTGCTAGGCTCGTCCGGCTAACCACCAGGGAGGTCCCATTCCCCAAACTCCACTCGAGGCTTCATGTGGACCTCGGCACCGCCCATTACACTAAGGGTCGTATGGTCGCTTGCTTGCGACTGGTGTGCTCGGTGACGTTTCTTGAGCAATTCGGATACCACGTGGTCTACCTGTTTGTCTATTAGTTTCTGCCACGGTGTCTTGACTCGTTCCCAGTGTGGCTCCCATCCGTCGCCACCTTTTCGACACTGGCGAAGCTTCCCCTCCCTTCACTTTTCTCTTCCATCTCCCATCACCCCCTCCCCCTTCCCTATCTAATGATGACCGCCTGGCCTTTGGCTATTACTCCCACATTTGTATTTTCCTCTTTTGCAAGATTTCTCTCTCTTTCTCTCTCTCTCCCTCACGGTCTTCTTAGACACCTGCATGACCACAACCAGCGCGTATCTGGAACTGGCTCACTACTCTTATTTTAAAGATGCGGATGTGCTCAATAAATTGTGAATTAGTGCTGTTCGTTTACGTATTTTAATGTTATTTTCGCTGGACCTTTGGTGCCTCCATACAGGCTCACGTAGAATGTGACGTGCTGTGATTCGGTCTACCTCGTGGTCGAAACACACGAGCCAAGGAAGGATAGCTTCAAATTATAGCCATCTTTGGTTCGTGCCATCTCTAATAATTATATTTTATTAATGCTAGTATCCGGGCCCGCTTTCTTCATAATAGCCGATCCATACGACGGACCGAATCGTGATTTTCGCCCGCGGACCGCGTACCACGTAATCGTCACGTCACCGATTCCTGCGATCAGCGCCTCGTCCGCGGGCTGATAAAGTGGAGCGCCTTTTCACTTGCGGATATTGAGCGGAAGGTTGACTTGAAAAGCATTGAGTCTGGCAACGGCCTAATATGTTTTCTTCCTTGAAAGGCGAAAGCCTTACTTGTCCCATTACGCGAAAAAGCGGCGATGTTGTGCTCGAAAGATGGTCACACCAATACGTTATCAAGCACGCGCCTCAGAAATGAAACACAAACAGAAGCACAGCGACGCAGATGCTTTGTCATCGAAGCCGTCGTGAAGCCGGCGGGGTTCGCCGCGTCTGCGCAGTGGATGAGCGTGAGATGTCACCGCCGGAGTGCCGTGGGATAAAGGAAGACGTGGCGCACTGCTTGTAGGAATGCGCTGCGTGTAGAAGTGCTTTCGCATTCCTGCACGTAAGCAGCCTTAAGTGTCTCTTCCGAATCTTTTTTTTTTTTTCGGACGATTACAACAAAAATGGCGCATTGTTGTGTTTTGTGACTTGGCTGGCTCGGTGATTGTCGAAGCGATGCGACGAGTGTCACCTGGGGGCGTTTAGGGAAACCTGAATGCGACCAAACGAAAGAGAAACTCGTGCCAGTAGTGCAGAGGTGCAGTGGCAGAGGGCTGCAGGAGCTGCGGGATAGAATTGATAAAATCATATTTGTCTGTGAAACCAGTCGAAACATAAGGCGTCCAGGCGTCCAGGCGTCCAGGCTTTCCGCGGCCCTCTATCCCGGTCATCAAGCAGCCTCGCTTGTACCTCTCATTTCCACTGTCTCATGCTTTGTCCGCCATTTGAGAAAAAAATTCGATGCAAGACGACGGATCTTCACATGGCTCTCAATTTAATTTACAGGTGCCTATTGTGGACATTTAACGCGCTGCGCAGCTGCAGGCGCGGGTAGGAGCGTTTGCCCCAGAGGGTAGCTGCTGTGCGGAGAAACTGCAAAGGGCAGGGGTCGCATTTGGTGTTCTCTGACTACGGAAAAAGCGGACAAATAGCAACGTGGCGATCGAATCACACGCAAACCTTAAAATTAAAAAAAAAAAAAAATTTTGCCGAAAGTTTTACATTTTTGATTCTTGTAACGAAAAAGACGTTATTCTCTCCAAGCTCCTTCTACTACCGGCTCTGCGTGCAGAAAACCTTGAAGAACATCGATTAGCATTTCCATTGGGGCCTAGTGTGAATGGCGTAGCTGTTCGTTTCGTCAGTTCGTGTGGTAAGTCACAGCACGACAGAGTTGAACTGGAGTGGCGCCGTCATGGACCGGCACCCGGTCGGTTTTGATCACTTCCCTGACGGATCGCGCACGTTCGCGTACGATACGACTGGCGTGCGGCAGTTGCAACACGTTGACCGCGACGTCATCCCGTTCCAAGCAGGCTAACGGTCGACGAGAGTCACCGCGAAGTTGCAGTCCGTCTTGGGGAGGCGAAAAGACTTGCCTCGACTCCACGCGTGGCTCATGTGAGGTCGAACACGGGAACGCGAGCGACGAGCAGCGAGCTTCCCGGGACGTACACCGTCGTCTGGGGGATGCCTCGCTTGCCTTCGAGGGTGCGAACAACACGTGCAGCGCCGCCCGTGGTTTGACCGAGACTGACGTCACGGCTGCACTGGAATACCTCGCAGACGACGCGCCAAGGTGCCCAAGTTTGGGATGTTCGTTCCCTGCTTTTCATAAAATACCCCGGTAGCGAGAGAAAGTTGTGGAAAGTTTCTGGACGGGCGCGTATGAGTAAAAGGGTGACATCGATGAACTTTGCTCGAATGTCTAGCTTAATCTACACTTTAGCCAACAATTGATGCCATGCGCAGCCCTGCTTTCACTGCCGCGGGGTGCCTATGCCCGCGTTCCAAGCTTGCTAGCCCAGCCAGCGTCCTATGTTCCAGGATTACTTGGCAAATGGACAAACTTCTTATAGGCTTCTGGAGATCCAAGAAGAACGTTTGCAATGTGGACGTGACTACGCACCGCCGGAACGCGTTCCTCTTCTGGACAGCTCACGTACTTCGCTCCTCGGTTTTCATTGGCTCACAGGGGCCCTTTTAGTGACAGGTTGGTTGCCCACGCAGACTCGCTGAACGTCCGACGATAGGCGTTAAACTGCACATTTCGCGTGCCAGATACAACGTTTTGGTCGCTTCCGGTCTTCAGAGCCAATATATGTCGGTCTTTTCTCTCGTCTGATGACACATTTCGAGAATCTGCATCAAGTTTTAATTCCTCCTATGAGGCCTTAGGGTTTCGTAACTGTGCCGTCAATAACAATGTACCGAGGGCCTACTCAGTAGAGAATATTCGCTCCCCCATCAAGCGAGGATACATTTGCAAAATTTGAATCGCGCTTCGGATTGCCAACTGGCACGGAACGAACAAATAAGAATGCTGGATTACAGCATACTTGCACTCGGGTGGAATTCGCACGCATCACTGTCGCCCCAACGAACGGAGTATGCAAGGTGAACCTTCTTACATCATCAAAGCGCGACGCAATCTTATTGTTTGTTGCAACTTTTTTTTTTTTTTTTGCTTTTACGCGAGGGAAGCAAGAAAATCAAAAGTGGCAGTGTTTGCTTTTGCAGCTTCCTTTAGATCTCGGTTAGCGTTTCAAATTTACTTCCTTTGTCAGCAAAGAGAAGCTTGACGAATTGGAGCGCGCTGGTAAGTTACGGGGATAAAAGGAAAGTGACATACGAGGACAGGAAAACAAAGCACATAGAAATACGTTTGTCCTATCTTCGGTCCATTTATGCCACTTTCCTTTTATCCTGAAGAGAAATAGCTTGCCGCGTCGCGCCAAATATGAACTGATACGTTAGAACGTCCGCACAACGAGCTAAATTTAGTACCGTCCAGGCTTGTTACAAGTAATGCCAGTTTTCAACCATTCTGGATAAGACCGACTACTAATATTGATCCTTTCTCTAGTTTCTTTTAATTACTTTTCATTTATATATTTTATACTTTATACATTAAGTACAATGTAAGGGCAGTTTCCAGTCAGTCTGGAAAAGACAGACTACTATACTTTGTTTCACCTTATTAAGTCCAGAGGCAGCCAATGCTACAAGCGCGAGCATGTGGCCCTGAACATCACCCGCACTGCACGGGAGCGCCTGCTCGGCAGGGACGCTGAAAGCCCGGAGCTCGCTCTTGTAGCCTCCGCCACGCTCCCACCTCAAGTGGAACGGAGTTACTCCGTTTTATTTTCCTTTGCGTTGGGGCCTCACACCACTGCTTCGTGGGTCGAGGATGCGACTCCGTTCCAAACCGGGATGAGTTTACCCGACCCTTGAGGAGCTGGGCGGGTACGTAGACCGAGCTCATCATACACACGAATGTTCCGAACCACGCGGCTGTAGAATGAAACCACAAATCCCCCGTATCTTGTTCCACTCAAACTAGAACAAACAAACAAAAAAAAATTCTTATTTAGAACAATTCTGTAAACGATTGCATTCTTGGTCAGAGTAAGGGGGGGCAAAAGAAGACGCGGGGCAAACGGCGCCAGTTTGTGTTTAGCGCCACCAATTTTCTAGACAAGCAATCGGAGTAAGTTCAAACTTCACCAAGAGGTGCCGTGACCTGTACACTTTGGGTGTTTCAAAAATTAGAGCTGTCGGCGAGAGTGTTCCGGAGAAAACCAAAAGCAGAGTTGAGGCCGACGTGTTCGTTCTGCAGACCGACGTGTTCTGCAGATCCACAAGACTAGCAGTTCCTGATATGCAAAGAACTTCGGATCCAAGCAGCCCCGCATTCAGTGTGGATCAAGTGCGTGAAATGCAAGGAGTGGCCTTGGAGCTCACACAGTGTGGTTCGAGGAATCTTATTGCGAAAACTGAACGCATATGAGGTTTTTTGAGTGCATCTGATTGTACCCCACTACGTTGTCTCATTTTTCCTCACAGGGTGGGGGAAAATGCGACATGCGACGTTCAGATATTGTAGTTTTGTTTAATGTTTCGCTCGCTCCAGTTAACCAGTATTTGCTGAGCATAGAGTCATGACATCTAGAACACCCCATACTGTTTTTTTTTTCTTCTTAAATATTGAAGCATAAATAAAAATTACCATTGAAATGAAACTGCTTCCTTTCTTATTTTGCCCCACCTTATCCTATTATCAACTGCATTCGAGGTTCCCGAAGATGGTTTTGAAAATTGTGTATTCCAACTGAACGCTCTGCCGTCGCTGCGGCGGCGCTGCTGTCGGCACAGCGCATGCGCAAATGGTTCATCTCGCGCGAATCTGGTTGTTTGGAAGCAAAATTTTGGCATTTATCAGAAATCCTTAACTGTATAAAAAGAAAACTGACGTAGGTCAGGTTACGAGTTGCGGAGTTAACTGCTGCCGGCTTGTCACATCCGCGCCAAGAAATAAAACAAATAAAGAATTAGGTGTATAATGAAGTCGTTGTACTCTGTTTGGTGGTACAGGAAGTGTCGGCACCCGATGTATACGACCGGCCACTCCTAATGAGATTAGTACCACGCACACAAAAGCCAAAAATCTCCATGCTTTATTTCGCGTATTGCGCGCAGCGTAGCGGCGAAGGACGCCCTTCGTCCCGGGAGGATGGCGTGAGCGAAATGAGCGGGACACGTGAGATTGCATCATCGTCCGGTCGGAGAGATGCGCGTGTTGCGGGGGTGTGACGCACACCTTCCATCTCATCTTCCACTCCACGCCGTATCGTTCGACTCGATAGGAAGTGCCCTTCATCGTCTCGTGGGTCAACAATGGGACGCGAAAGAAACTCGCCTCCATTGAGTCCTCGTCAAACCTTCTGGTCGTTTGCCGCGATGCTCCGGACTATATCGCATGTCTCAACAAACAAAAATAAATATAAAAACTAGCCTTGAAAAAAAAAAAGAAAAATAAAGCAGTGTTTGGCACTGTAGCGTAATGGAACCCGAAAATAATTGCTTCTATAAATAACGTAGCGGATGGGAGAGAGGCCGCTCGAGCGCGTTAATATGCACTCTATTAAAAAGAAATCGTAAAGGTGAGCCAGTAATCTGTCCGTATCATCGATGCTGTGTCTGCACTGGGTCCCAACTTGCGGCGCAACAGAGGCAGTAATTAAAACGCCTTGGCGAGCGTGACCCGTGTCGTTTGACGTGTCTTGTTTTCAAGTCCAGAGAAAGGAAAACAGCGTTTAAAACTCTGAAGTAAAAATAACAAAAATATATATATAACCCAGTTTTACTGCTTTACAGATCATACCAAAGACAGGATGTTTGCTGCAGACGTGATTAGGGAATTATTGGCGGATGCGGCTGAAGCATGTTCGGACACGTTTGCCTCTTACATATGTGTGCTTCGACCATGTCTGCAGACAGTTTACGTATGACCAAGGTGGCCGACATATAAGAAAAAAATACGCCTCGGATGGTGCCTGTCGACTGTCTTTTGTACGATGTAGTGCGAGCAGTGTGACCGTGTCTTTCGGCAATAACCAGAGCGACGATGCTTTCGATGACCGAGACCAGAGGGCCTTCTCGACTATGGTACAAGCGTGACCCAGACGCTCCGAAGGAGGTAGAACTCACCCAGGCGGTAGCCGCCGTTGACCTGGCACTGGAGCTGCGTCCAACCCAAGTCCACGAAGAAGACGGCCACGAGGTGTCCGAAGCCCGCCTCCGGGAACGGGTCAAGCACCAGGACCGCGTCGTGGCTTCCGGCGCCGTTGAGCGGCTCGTCTGGGAGCACTGCGGACAGCCTGCGATGACCGTCCTCCGCCCTCCTGGACGCGGCGTACAGGTTGACGTCTCCCTTGCGCAGCCTCCGCAGATCCCCGCACTCCCGGTCGTTGGCGAAGAACGCGCACGAAACGTTCGCCATCTGGTCATAGGCCGCCTGCGACCACCTGGCCAGGGCGACGGCCCGGGGCGCACCGGGGACGTGGACGGGTCCTCCGGACACCGAGGAGCCCGCGACGAGGCTGAGCAGGAGCGCGGCCGCACGGAGGAGCATCGTGGCGTGGTCTGTTGCCGCTGGTCTGCCTGGGCCGTCCGGTGCGGAGTAGCGAGCCGATGTTTCTCTTGCCGGTTTGTGTTTTGCTCTGTTGTTGCCTGTACCTCCTCGCCCCCACGTCGCTTTGTCCGAGTAATGTGAAAGGCCGCTTTGTGTGACAAAGTGCGCGGATTTTCTCCTTCTCGTCCGTCCTCTTTCCCTTTGCCCGCTCGAGTGGCAAGCGCTTGTTTCGGCTTTCGGGACGGGATGGACTCGGCTTGCACGGGACGCTGGAAGCCGCTTGATTTGTCAGTGCGTTTCTGTTGCTGCGGCAGTGAGTACTACGCGCGCCGACGCTATGCGCTGCCTTGTGCTTCGGCTCTTAAACGGCAGGGGTGGCTTCTGGTGGGGGGCAAATTTGCCTAGCTCAATTCAATGGCATTCCGTCACAAGGCGTCCCTATTAGATAACCGCATTGGAAACTTGATAGGGGAGCATTCCGAGATTGGGGTAACTTAGGAGATTGGGCTAACTTAAAACAAAAGAAGACAAAAAAGAAAAGGAGGGGAAAATCTTTTATAGCACCACTGCTTCAATATTAAATGAACATTTACCTCTTAATTAAAATTATATAACAAGACGAAATAAAAAGAGGATATTCGTGCACATCTATGCTCTGAATAACACTGCTTTTGAATTCTCGTCATGCACGCAGAGACCATATTCGTGTTTCTACGGTTCTGAGTGAGCAGGATGTTACAAGAAAATGCATGCAACATCCAAAAGAACGCCTCAGGTAAGTCTAACTGTCACTACTAAGAAAAACACACTTCTTACAACAAAGAACGGTGAAGACAAAAAACAAACAAAAAAAACGAGGAGTCTAAACGGCGAACATTGGGGCGATCGAGCTTTATGGGACGCAAGTAATCATTGCTGTGTCAGGTGTCGAGGACTGTTACAACCATCATAATGGAACGCTTTGATTTCAATGTGTGCACCGGTTTTTTTTTTTTTCTTTTTTATTTTTTTTGCAGCCGTTTTTGAGCAAATGTTCATATTCTACTTCTTTTTTTTGCCCTGGTCAAGAGGAGAGGAAAGAAGACTCTTTGTACGAACTTGGACAAAAGAGAATCCACGGTGGCCACAAAAAAAACATTTAGTTTCGCTCAATCTAGGTTACCGCAGCTCGATGAAGCCAACACGTTCGATCATATTCGGACACCACAACGAAGTGCTCCAAGAATCATCCTTCTCCTGATCTGCACCTTCATAAGCAATATCCGCACATGATGCACATCCGCCCTCCGCATTGAAGCCAGAAGCGTCCCGTCGATGTAGACAAAGCTACGCTGGCAGGCACCGACAAGCGTCCCATGATTGTAGAGGTAATACAGTGGAAGCTACGTCCAAATCGCGTGTCGAGGCGAGGTCAAGTGTCAAGCTTGTTCGGACGTGTCCTGTTGCCGTTCCGGTTTGTGACATGCTCCGGCACTGTCAGGGTCACTCTGCTGAGGTGCGAGCGAGGTGTGAAGGACGCTTGCGGGGCTACTTTCGGAGACTGGTGCAATCCGCCGTCGATAACCGATGAGAAAATGAGCGAGTTCCAGCTTCCAGGAAGCAAAGCGAAGCGAAGGTTTCTGGAGTTTGGGACGTTGTCTTTGTCTCAGAGGGGGATCACGTCACGGGCAAAACGTTGCCCATATCTATTTTGTTGACATAATATTTGCTATGTCTTCACAAACTACATATTTCTTTCAAAAAAAAAAAAAAAATGTACGTTAGCTTTTTTTTTTTTTTTTTGAGGGGGGGGGGGGGAAAGTTGGGCTCGGGGGGCTTAAGAAGAGCGGTCGCCCCCGCCCCTATTATATCCATCCGTGCGTGTCGGCGTGCTCGTGCAATGCGAGCAAGTTGTTGGAAGTTGCCCGTCTAGGTGTCTTTAGAGGGGTGGCACACCCGACCGATCGCGTGCGCCGCCTTATCAAGGCTATTCTAGTACACTGTATCAAGGCGGCGCACGCGATGTGCGCGTGGCTGGCGTAACGTCGCCGCCACGCGGGAAAAGTTCGGCACTCCTGCCTCGCAGTCGGGCAACTGGGCTGGGGAGCCGCCAGGGTGCCCACAACTTCGGTACAGCCGATTTGTATGAGCACATTTTCTATCGTGTCAGCGATGAAATTTTACGACGCCTATGGTATATCTTAATCCCGTGACGCTTTTCGCACTTCAATTATCGAGGCACCCCGTTGTTTTCCTCTAACTCGGCCATGGCCTCCCGTGCGTGTTCGATAATGATTGTCCAAACTTGAATTCTACTCTGGACGAATTGGAGCGTGCTGATAAGTTGCAGAGATCAAATAAAAGCGACACAAAAAGTCAAACAGAACGAACACGGGACGAGATATCTTTTGTGTTGTCAGCGCCTTTTATTTATGTTTTTTTTTTTCGAATTTTAGCAAGCTGGTAATATCCTCGCGTGATTCCGTTTTCCATTGACTTTCAATCTTACCCGTTTTTTTTTTTTTCGTTTTTTTTTTACAATTTAAGAATGCAAAAAAAAAAAGTTAAACATGCTGAAATTTCAATAACTCCTTCAAAGTCTTCCTTTAGGCCACAGTCCCACTTCTAACACATCGTACACAAGAGTTTGTGGAGAGGCGTGTTTTATACATGGCTCATCCAAAACGTTTCTCCAGACATGTTGGATGCACATGACGAGGAGGTGCTTTGAGCCTGCTTCGGGCGTATCCGCAGGGAATATCCCGTGCCTTTCGTACCAAGTAGGGGCAGCGCGAGTGCGGCTCGGGGTTGTTTCGGACACCGCGCTCGAACTGCAGCCCAAGTAGCGCCCCGATCGCGTTTCCGTTGCCGGGAGTACCGCGCGCGAGTGCGCGGCTGTGCTTCAATGCTGCATTCCGCGGGGACGCGTGCTTAGCGAGGGAATCCCGCTGAAGAAGAATTCGAGCGGAGTGCTCCCCGAAGGACGAGCGAGTGATTCGGAGGAATGCCCAGGTAAGCCGACACCCCCCCAGGGAGAGCCCCTACGGAGAATCGGGATTCCTCGCCACGGACTCCACGGGCAAGGTCGGCGATACCCCGTCTCGCGTTGCAATAGACTGCGCAAGACGCCGCGAACCGTCCAAGCCAATCCAATCCAATGCCATCCGAGTGTCACCTGAGCTTCGGGAGGAGCGCAGCAATACAACTCAAAGGCCTGCGTATGACGTCATCGTTGGTGGATCCTGACCTCCCCTCGAAGCTACAAAGACGCCGAACCTCGGCGAGGGACGCTGCGAAGACACGTGCGTGAGGCGCTGCACGACGATACTGACGCAAGCGAGGCAGCGCTGCGTTGATCCACGAGTGGCGACGTTGGTGGAAGTAAGGCTCATGGCGGAAGAAGACAGCGTCTCCGTGTCGCCCTTCGTGCTTCCTATCCTCGAGCACCTGCGTGAGACGAAGGTTGTTTACGCGCCTGGCCCAATAAACAAGCACGCAAGGATGGCGGACTGCTGCGACTGAAGCCAGATTTGAGAGGCCGTGCAGTCGTGTGTGTGCACGAGGAAAAACTGGAAAAAAAAAAAAAAAACATAGCGTGGCTGTCGTCGCTTTGAATGAATGTGTTAATATAGTTACTGTGTCGGTGACGTTTTCGACATACCGAATAAGCAAATAAAAGGGAGTTTTAGTAGATGATCGTTTTGAAATAACCGATACCGTTGCTCAATGACGACACGACGCGTGCGCGAAGGGATCGGCAGCAGAGTACGGGGTATCGTTATCGAAACGATCGACCAAAACTCCCTAAAAACACGTCTGTTCGAACCATCAGCTACACTCTGTTCGGCGCTAGTGTGACAATGGTAGATATATATAGGTGCCCGTTGAACCAGTCAGCCTCCTGTCCACGCGATAGCGCTTTCTTGGCACACTGTCAGGCAGAAAGCGGGATCAGGTGATGACAGGCATGCAGGTCATTGATTGGTCCAACGGGCCAATCAGCTGCCAGCGCCCTCTTAGCGGTGAACGGAGAAGATATGCGAATGGATACGGGAGCGCGTCGGCGTTCGCACGGGACTCTTGTTGGCCGTGTGTTGACTCTTCGTGTTCCTCGTGTACGTCTGTCTTGTTGAGCGTGACAATTTACGAATACATAGCGGACAAAGTTCCCATCCCTGTGCGCTAATTTCTGACATGTCACCGAGCGAATGCCTGCTTGCGGGCAGACGCGGAAAGAAGGCGTCACTGAAGTTCTGTCGGAACACGTCCGCGACGCGAGCGCCTCGGCCAACCACTGATCTCCGAAGCACTCCTGCTATATTTTGTCACACGCGTCGCCTGCACGACGTCTACCGGTAGGCAGGTGTGTGGACAAAAGCTCTAATGGCCTACGGTGGCCGGTGATCAGGTTGATGCGGTCAAACTAAGATCTACATCGACTGTCCGTGACGTTCGATGAAAGGTTACGTTTCCGCAATGCGCGTCCCCGTCACTGGCCGAGAACGCCTTCGTGCCTTCGCTTGGGCGTCTTGTGAGCCGTGCGCATCCACGACGCAAGTGGGCAAACACGTGTTGTCTGAAAGCCACGCCCTGGCGTTCTCAGCTTGGAAGGGAGGAGAGACGTTGGCGCACAGTAAACTTCAAAACACCTATGTTTGGAGGGTGTTTCATACCGAATGCACTTTTTCAGAGCGCTATATATGTTTTTAGAAGAGGTGTAATGTTTTTGATTCACCTACTGAGCGTGAGAGACGTGTCGTTACACCTTTTGGCGGCTTTCGAAAGGTGTTTAGGAAGTGACACCTATTACGGAGGAGAAGGTGTTTCCGCCTGAAAACACCTTTTCTTTTTTACGTTTGCCGGGACAAACTGTTGAACTAACAGGCCGGTGTCACACTGGACTCTGCCTAAGAGACACGTTTTTGGGAACGTTGGAGGAGAGGGGGGGAGGGGGTGCTAATCGGCTAATCCAATCAGAAAACAGGAGAGGAATATGTGCAAAAGTACAATTTTTCGTAGTT